TGCCCAGTAGGAGACCAAAAATCCCAGTTGGCAAAGGACCAAAAATCCCAGTAGGGAGGCCTTGTGGGCCCATCTCAGGGGTCAATACTGTATAGGAGGTGGCACTGAGGTCCAGTCCTGCAGTACCCTCTGTGGCTCCGTGGAGGAAATTGATGGATTTAGGGTGTTCTGTTGAGGAACAAATGTCATGGCACCCAAAATTTGTTGGTCCGCTTTTAGTTTTCTGAACTTTATTTATTTAAGGAATTATCGTTTTTATCAGTTTTAGAGTGACATTTATTGGTCCAATGCCTTTCCCTTTAGCACCAGGGGCAAATCCCAGGAGGAGGGGCTTTTTTGATGTTTGACTTTTGGACAATATTTGTACATGTCCCTGTTGCCCACATTGATAGCACCCTCATTTATCAGGCATAGTCCTCCTTGTTGATTTTTGTAATGACATACCAAGCAGAGTGGCAGGTTCTGAATGTTCTGTTTTTTAAATTAATTTATTTTGTTAATTTTTTATTAAAGGGACTGTTACAGAACACCTCAGCCACAATAGCCAATCGATTCATATCTGCGTTGTACTCATGTTTTGTAGAATTTACAGTACTATGGGCATTACTAAGCAATTTTTACACAGCACCAGAAAATGATCCATACTGAGAATTAAACATCATTAGTAGTCATCACCCGCATGTTCAATGTCCAGCATGACTGCGTGTTCCCCCGGGATGGAACAGCAGCAGCAGAGGCTTGCTCCGGCTCTTCCTTAAAGCCCGCAAGGACAAGGGTGGCTCATTGCCAAGATCTTAGGCAAGCAGTGTGTCCCATCCCGGATCTTGGCCAGAGAGCCGAGACACGAAGCATGCCCACCTGTTTATCAGAAAACATTCCTTTATCCCCTCCCCAGGAACTGGCCAGGCTCCCAAGGAGCAGGAGAAGGTCATCTGGCAGACAAGTTACTTGTTTATCAGAGCCAAACAAAGACACAAGCCTCTCCATCCCAAAAATCTGTCCTTACATTTGGCCCTAGAGTTGCACCAAGGTATAGGCATAATTAATACATCATACGAATATAATACAAATTTTCTATACAAATATACATCCAGCAATCAAACACAATAATATTCAATATGTTTTAAGGATAAATTGAAACATATCTAAGGGAACTAGCCTCTTATTATCTGTAATTATTACATGTCTGCAGGTTTTGGAATCTTAACTACTTGTGGCATATTTTGACTTACATTTTTTTTTTAAAGCAAACCAAGCATAATCTGCTCAAGCATTCCTATCAATAATAGGGGTAGAGTTAGTACATAAAACAAAAACAAAATGGGTAGTCCGGACACTTTGTCACCACAATTTCTCATTGCACATAGTAATATTAACTTTATAACAGAGAACATTTACTTCAAATGAAATATTTAAATGCAAGGTGAGGGCTGTCCAGTGTACACTGATCTATATTTTTTACTCCCAGTGTTTCTTATCCACAACACCTTCTTCAGCAAACCAAGGACTAATTGTTTTAACAGCACTGATAAGCTGCTCTACAGTTTGTTTCTTTAACCCTATTTTCTACATCTGCAACAAAGTTCTCACAGCCTTTGTCACGGCTTGCTTTGTTTCTTGAAATGCACATTTAAGTTTTTTCTGAGGAAATCCCAATGTTGCTTATTCACGACTCCTTTTTCGAACCAAGGACTGACTATTTTTATAGCATTAATGAACTGTTCTATGGCTCGCCTTGTTTAACCCTATTCCCTGTATCTGTAATGGAGTCTTTATAGCTTTTTTTTTTTTTTTTTTTTTCTAGGGGCCGATTTAGGGAGAGTCAATGGACGATACCGCGGCGGCAGTTCGTCCTCTAAGGACAAATTTGCTAGCCTAGTCAAACTGAGATATAAATGAGATGGCCCCCTCGAGCGCAGGGGCACACTCGATGGGGGATGGTCCTTCACTGAATTTTCCTCTGTCTCATCCGGTGGCTGGTCCCTACAGGGACCTTTGTCCGTCTGTTTCCTGTCCCACTGACTACCACAGTCACTAGACTGACTATCATGCCGAGACTCCTCCTGAACCTTCTCTAGGAGCTCGCATGCTTCATCAAGTAAAAGCCCTATGCTCTCAGTGGGGTCCTGAAGTGTCTGGTCAATGAGTTGCCATAATCTAAGTATTTCTGCCGGCTCTCCGGCTGCTCTCAACTGTCTCCCTACTCTCCGCCACTGTTGCTCATCTAATTGGCCACCTTCCACAAACCATGGTGACGTCTTGGCAACAGCCCTAGTGAATGCACATACTGTGGCCGCCTTAACGGGTGTCCCCGCAGCTTTTAACAAGCAGCTCAACAGCATGTGCAACCTAGTGGTGGACGGAGAATAGTCCATTTGGAGGTAAAAAGGAAGTTTCCGAGTATTGTCCATTTGGAGGTAAAAAGGAAGTTTCCGCCTATTTCCTGGCGTTTCTGAACACTTTGTACTCCCGCCTTTTAAGGGATTCCTTTACCCTTTTTTCTGGCGCTTAATTTCCCCGTCTTTCTCGACGGAACTGCGGTTTCTATTCTTTCCCCAGCTGGATTTCCGTGCACACGCACGCTTACCTTTTGTTCCTTACCTATTCCTGCGTGTGGAAAGTGGTCCGGATCTAAGTCACGACACCACTTGCCGCTCCCTTGCCCGCAAAGGAACAACACTGTTTGCAGCTTATCGGTCTTCAGTAGACTTTTTTTTTAAGCTTTTTTTTTTTATTTTTTTATTTTTTGACAGGCAGAGTGGATAGTGAGAGAGAGAGACAGGGAGAAAGGTCTTCCTTTGCTGTTGGTTCACCCTCCAATGGCCGCCGCGGCCGGTGTGCTGCGGCCTATGCACTGTGCTGATCCGATGGCAGGAGCCAGGTACTTATCCTGGTCTCCCATGGGGTGCAGGTCCCAAGTACTTGGGCCATCCTCCACTGCACTCCCTGGCCACAGCAGAGAGCTGGCCTGGAAGAGGGACAACCGGGACAGAATCCGGCGCCCTGACCGGGACTAGAACCCCGTGTGCCGGCGCCGCAAGGTGGAGGATTAGCCTAGTGAGCCGCGGCGTCGGCCTTTCAGTAGACTTTTAATAAGAAAATAACAGTGACAGAGAAAGAATGAAGGGAGGAGAGTGGACAGAAAAGCCCCCTCCTTCTTCAGCACACAGCTTATATACAAAATCTGGCCAATTGCAAGCGGGCTCAAGTCCATGCACGGAGCACTCCAATCCACTGTCTGTTCACACAGTGTGCACGTGTCTTTGGGCCAATCAGATGAGGTGTCACGCAGCAGGCAGGCTCACCGCGCGGTCCTCAGCGCCATCTTGTTGTTTACAACATTCTCAACTCCCCTGGAGAGTCCCGACCGTGGGAAAGCATTGCCCTAACCGAAACTAGCAACATCCACCTTGTGATAAAGACACAGCAACAGCTATCAGACCGACCTTGACGTGGGGGCTCCATGGCTGTGCATCCCATGGAGCCCCACACCTAGGAAAACAGTAGAAGATGGCACAAGTCCCTGGGTCCCTGTACCCATGTGGGAAACCAGAAGAAGCTCCTGGCCTTGGATCAGCACAGCTTCCAGCCATTGCAACCCATTTAGGGGAGTGAACCAGTGGGTGGAGGATCGATCTCTCTCTCGAGAGAGAGATCGATCTTCCACCCACTGGTTCACTCCCTAATTGGTTGCAATGGCTGGAGCTGTGCTGATCCAAGGCCAGGAGCTTCTTCTGGGTTTCCCACATGGGTACAGGGACCCAGGGACTTGTGCCATCTTCTACTGTTTTCCTAGGTGTGGGGCTCCATGGGATGCACAGCCATGGAGCCCCCACGTCAAGGTCGGTCTGATAGCTGTTGCTGTGTCTTTATCACAAGGTGGATGTTGCTAGTTTCGGTTAGGGCAATGCTTTCCCACGGTCGGGACTCTCCAGGGGAGTTGAGAATGTTGTAAACAACAAGATGGCGCTGAGGACCGCGCGGTGAGCCTGCCTGCTGCGTGACACCTCATCTGATTGGCCCAAAGACACGTGCACACTGTGTGAACAGACAGTGGATTGGAGTGCTCCGTGCATGGACTTGAGCCCGCTTGCAATTGGCCAGATTTTGTATATAAGCTGTGTGCTGAAGAAGGAGGGGGCTTTTCTGTCCACTCTCCTCCCTTCATTCTTTCTCTGTCACTGTTATTTTCTTATTAAAAGTCTACTGAAAGGCCGACGCCGCGGCTCACTAGGCTAATCCTCCACCTTGCGGCGCCGGCACACGGGGTTCTAGTCCCGGTCAGGGCGCCGGATTCTGTCCCGGTTGTCCCTCTTCCAGGCCAGCTCTCTGCTGTGGCCAGGGAGTGCAGTGGAGGATGGCCCAAGTACTTGGGACCTGCACCCCATGGGAGACCAGGATAAGTACCTGGCTCCTGCCATCGGATCAGCACAGTGCATAGGCCGCAGCACACCGGCCGCGGCGGCCATTGGAGGGTGAACCAACAGCAAAGGAAGACCTTTCTCCCTGTCTCTCTCTCTCACTATCCACTCTGCCTGTCAAAAAATAAAAAAATAAAAAAAAAAAGCTTAAAAAAAAAGTCTACTGAAGACCGATAAGCTGCAAACAGTGTTGTTCCTTTGCGGGCAAGGGAGCGGCAAGTGGTGTCGTGACTTAGATCCGGACCACTTTCCACACGCAGGAATAGGTAAGGAACAAAAGGTAAGCGTGCGTGTGCACGGAAATCCAGCTGGGGAAAGAATAGAAACCGCAGTTCCGTCGAGAAAGACGGGGAAATTAAGCGCCAGAAAAAAGGGTAAAGGAATCCCTTAAAAGGCGGGAGTACAAAGTGTTCAGAAACGCCAGGAAATAGGCGGAAACTTCCTTTTTACCTCCAAATGGACAATACTCGGAAACTTCCTTTTTACCTCCAAATGGACTATTCTCCGTCCACCACTAGGTTGCACATGCTGTTGAGCTGCTTGTTAAAAGCTGCGGGGACACCCGTTAAGGCGGCCACAGTATGTGCATTCACTAGGGCTGTTGCCAAGACGTCACCATGGTTTGTGGAAGGTGGCCAATTAGATGAGCAACAGTGGCGGAGAGTAGGGAGACAGTTGAGAGCAGCCGGAGAGCCGGCAGAAATACTTAGATTATGGCAACTCATTGACCAGACACTTCAGGACCCCACTGAGAGCATAGGGCTTTTACTTGATGAAGCATGCGAGCTCCTAGAGAAGGTTCAGGAGGAGTCTCGGCATGATAGTCAGTCTAGTGACTGTGGTAGTCAGTGGGACAGGAAACAGACGGACAAAGGTCCCTGTAGGGACCAGCCACCGGTTGAGACAGAGGAAAATTCAGTGAAGGACCATCCCCCATCGAGTGTGCCCCTGCGCTCGAGGGGGCCATCTCATTTATATCTCAGTTTGACTAGGCTAGCAAATTTGTCCTTAGAGGACGAACTGCCGCCGCGGTATCGTCCATTGACTCTCCCTAAATCGGCCCCTAGAAAAAAAAGAAAAAAAAAAAGCTATAAAGACTCCATTACAGATACAGGGAATAGGGTTAAACAAGGCGAGCCATAGAACAGTTCATTAATGCTATAAAAATAGTCAGTCCTTGGTTCGAAAAAGGAGTCGTGAATAAGCAACATTGGGATTTCCTCAGAAAAAACTTAAATGTGCATTTAAAGAAACAAAGCAAGCTGTGACAAAGGCTGTGAAAACTTTGTTGCAGATGTAGAGAATAGGGTTAAAGAAGCAAACTGTAGAGCAGTTTATCAGTGCTGTTGAAACAATTAGTCCTTGGTTTGCTGAAGAGGGTGTTGTGGATAAGAAACACTGGGAGTAAAAAATATAGATCAGTGTACACTGGACAGCCCTCACCTTGCATTTAAATATTTCATTTGAAGTAAATGTTCTCTGTTATAAAGTTAATATTACTATGTGCAATGAGAAATTGTGGTGACAAAGTGTCCGGACTACCCATTTTGTTTTTGTTTTATGTACTAACTCTACCCCTATTATTGATAGGAATGCTTGAGCAGATTATGCTTGGTTTGCTTTAAAAAAAAAATGTAAGTCAAAATATGCCACAAGTAGTTAAGATTCCAAAACCTGCAGACATGTAATAATTACAGATAATAAGAGGCTAGTTCCCTTAGATATGTTTCAATTTATCCTTAAAACATATTGAATATTATTGTGTTTGATTGCTGGATGTATATTTGTATAGAAAATTTGTATTATATTCGTATGATGTATTAATTATGCCTATACCTTGGTGCAACTCTAGGGCCAAATGTAAGGACAGATTTTTGGGATGGAGAGGCTTGTGTCTTTGTTTGGCTCTGATAAACAAGTAACTTGTCTGCCAGATGACCTTCTCCTGCTCCTTGGGAGCCTGGCCAGTTCCTGGGGAGGGGATAAAGGAATGTTTTCTGATAAACAGGTGGGCATGCTTCGTGTCTCGGCTCTCTGGCCAAGATCCGGGATGGGACACACTGCTTGCCTAAGATCTTGGCAATGAGCCACCCTTGTCCTTGCGGGCTTTAAGGAAGAGCCGGAGCAAGCCTCTGCTGCTGCTGTTCCATCCCGGGGGAACACGCAGTCATGCTGGACATTGAACATGCGGGTGATGACTACTAATGATGTTTAATTCTCAGTATGGATCATTTTCTGGTGCTGTGTAAAAATTGCTTAGTAATGCCCATAGTACTGTAAATTCTACAAAACATGAGTACAACGCAGATATGAATCGATTGGCTATTGTGGCTGAGGTGTTCTGTAACAGTCCCTTTAATAAAAATTAACAAAATAAATTAATTTAAAAAACAGAACATTCAGAACCTGCCACTCTGCTTGGTATGTCATTACAAAAATCAACAAGGAGGACTATGCCTGATAAATGAGGGTGCTATCAATGTGGGCAACAGGGACATGTACAAATATTGTCCAAAAGTCAAACATCAAAAAAGCCCCTCCTCCTGGGATTTGCCCCTGGTGCTAAAGGGAAAGGCATTGGACCAATAAATGTCACTCTAAAACTGATAAAAACGATAATTCCTTAAATAAATAAAGTTCAGAAAACTAAAAGCGGACCAACAAATTTTGGGTGCCATGACATTTGTTCCTCAACAGAACACCCTAAATCCATCAATTTCCTCCACGGAGCCACAGAGGGTACTGCAGGACTGGACCTCAGTGCCACCTCCTATACAGTATTGACCCCTGAGATGGGCCCACAAGGCCTCCCTACTGGGATTTTTGGTCCTTTGCCAACTGGGATTTTTGGTCTCCTACTGGGCAGAAGTAGTATAACTATGAAAGGGTTACAGGTTTTTCCTGGAGTTATAAACACTGACTTTACTGGTGAGATAAAAATTATGACTCAAGCCAATAATGTAACTTTAACTCCAGGACAATGCATTGCTCACTTGATTCTGTTCCCCTTCTCTTCAATTGGTAAGTCTTTTTTAAATAAAAGAGAAAATAACGGTTTTGGATCTTCTAATGCTTATTGAATACAACCCATAACTAAGGACCGACCCAAATTTTTTCTTAAAATTAAATAAAAAGTTATTCAGTGGTCTTTTAGATACTGGAGCTGATGTCTCTGTTATTTCAGCAGCAAGCTGGCCCACAAATTGGAAGAAGAAAATTACCATAACTCAATTGCAAGGTATTGCTCGGAGTCAAAGATTAACACAAAGTTCTAAATTGCTGCAATGGAGGATTAAGCAGGTAATGCTGGAGCTTGTTACCCCTATATTTTGGCTGCATTACTTGTTAATCTCTGGAGACGTGATATTCTAACTCAAATGGGGGCTTTAATACACAGTCCAAATAAGATTATTACCATTAACATACTTCAACAAGGTCATTTGCCAGATAAGGGTTTAGACAAACAACAACAGAGCATCACATCTCCAGTTACTTTAACTGTCAATCATGACCAGAGAGGCTTGGGTTTCCCTTGATGGCTACCGGTCAGTCTGTGCCCCATGCAAAAAATAAAATAAAATAAAAATCAGATAATCCCGTGTGGGTGGATCAGTGGCCTTTACTGCAGGAAAAGATAAATGCTGCACAGATATTGGTGGAAGAACAATTAACATCAGGACATATAGTTCCTTCTAATTCTCCTTGGAATAGTCCTATTTTTGTTATCAGAAAGAAATCTGGGATATAGCAATTGCTTCAAGGCCTTAGGCCTGTTAATGCTACTGTGGAAATTATGGGGGCTTTACAACCAAGTTTACCATTGCCTATTGCAATTCCAAAGGACTCTTATATTACAATAATAGATTTAAAAGATTATTTTTATACTATACCTTTACATCCAGAAAACTGTCCCCGATTTGCTTTCAGTGTTCCATCAGTAAATTTTCAAGAACCTATGCAAAGATGCCAATGGAGGATCTTACCTCAAAAAATGGCTAATAGCCCTACTTTGTGCCAACAATTCATTGATGCTGCTCTTCAAAATATTTACAAAAAATATAACAATTTATGTATTATACACTATATGGATGGTATTTTGATAGCTGGACCCGAGGAATTTTTGGTGATACAGTAATAAGAGAGCAATTATCTGCTTTTGGTCTTATCATAGCCCCTAAAAAATACAACTTCAATACCCTTATCAATATCTAGGCTTCCAATTGTACCCATGAAAAATACTTCCACAAAAGTCACCTTACAATTGGATTCTTTACAGACTTTAAATAAGTTTCAAAAACTTCTAGGGAATATTAATTTGCTTTCTGCACATCTCCACCTCACAACAGGAGACCTTAAACCTTTATTCAATATCCTAAAAGGAGGTCAAGCTTCTGTAATTTGTGATGGTCACCATACAGTTATTAACACCTCTTTTTCATCTCTACAGCTAGTTGAATTAGTTGCTGTTGCACTTGCATTGCAGTCTACTTTGGATGTAGCGGTTAACATATACACCAATAGCAAATATGTGTTCCTATCAGTGCCTCAATTGGACACTTGTTCATTCCTTCCTGGATCCTCAGCTGCTTCTCCTCTGTTTTCTCGCATTTGCACTGTCATTCGACAGCATACCTGTCCTTTCTTTATAGGTCATATTCGAGCACATTCCAATCTTCCTGGACCATTGGTAGAGGGTAATCATTTGGCAGATTCTGCTCTATAAATATATTCTATTGCTACAGCAACAAAAGATCACGTTTTACATCATTTAAATGCTTATACGTTACACTTAAAACATAATATTACTCAAGAACAAGCTCGACAAATTGTAAAATTCTGTTCTACTTGCTCCATCCAGTTACCAGTACCTCACTTTCACATTATTCCTCATGATTTATTTCCCCAATCAACTATGGCAAATGGATATCACCCACTTCATGGAATTTGGTAAACAAACATATATACATGTGTCTATTGATGCTTGTTTTAAATTTATTTTTGCTTCCTTACATACAGGTAAAGCTACAAGACATGTTATTGCCTGTTGCTTATGAGCTTTTGCTTCCCTAGGAACTCCAAAGCAGATTAAAACGGATAATGGACCTGCTTATATTTCTGCCTCTTTTAGAAATTTTTGTGTAACTTTCTATCTCATGTTACTGACATTCCTTATAATCCTCAGGGTCAAGACATTATTCTACATACACATAACACTTTAAAGCAATATTTTAATGATATAAACAAAAGGGGGAGTTTAGGGTTCTTGCCCATTCTCCTAACAAATGGCTCTCACGTGCTTTATTCATTTTAAATTTTTTCACATTGGATAAAGATGGTCGTCTTGCAGCTATTCAACAGTGGCATCCACAAACAGCTGGGGTAAGAACAATGGTAAAATGAAAGGATCCTATCACCAATCAATGGAATGGACCTGATCCAGCACTGTATGGGACATGGGCTCTTAAGGGATGGGTATTTTTATGCAACCAATTTGCTTTTATATTGTTAGCCCCTAATGATTTTCACAACTGCTCATTGGCCGTGTGGCCCCAATGCTAACATCTGTATTTCCAAAGGCACAACAGTGATGCTCATTACCTGAGAACTGTGATGATGATGTCATCTTAATTGGAGACCTGCTTTCACCATGGCTATACAGCTAGTGGGAGTTCCTGGATTGGCTTATGGAAATAATTGTGGACTACGAAGGCTTACACGTTTGATGACCAAAACAATCAATCTTACTGCTACTGTGCTATCCAATATAGCTAAAAAATTGGATCAAGTTCGTTCAGGAGTACTCTTAAACCAAGCAGCTATCGATTATTTGCTGTTAAAAGATCATGTAAGCTGTAAATCTGTTCCAGGGGAATGTTGTTTTAACATTACTAACAATGCCATATATAGAGTCTGTTATGGATAAACTTAAGAGTAAAATGCAACATATGTTTATTACTAACCCACTAACATTTGAAGGGTTTCAATGAATTCATTGGTTATTAATGCGGGCTGGATTGTTACTGCTTTTCATACTTTGTATGGGATGTTTTCCGTGTGTTCTGCAATTTGTGCTAACTTCGCTACAATCTGTATGGACTGACATTCATCACTTAAAACTTCATACCAAACCTCTTTTGTAATCAAAAATAATTAATATTTGGCTGTATGTTTCATCTCTCACCTAATGTTGGGCTAAAATGGTACTCAAAATGGGTAAGACACTCCACATCCTGTACCTACCTAAGACAGGGCTCAAGTTAAAGAATGGGTCGCTATCGGTTGCTTGTGTGTCATGATACTACTGGGCCTTGCCTTCATAGCCAGATGGATCAGAGCCTTAGCACTCCGTCAGCAAAATACCAACTTGATAATCCAACAGGCTATGCTGGCCACCTTGCGATCTCACCCCAATAAAGAAGTATGGCTTAGCATGATGGAGCGGTAGTCAAAGACAGGTAAACACTGATGGGCGCTCCTAGCAACCTAAGACAGAGGGTAGGACAGGCTTCCTATTACCTCCATGACGGGTAAGCAGGTAGCGCACCATTGGGTACCTAAGACAGGCACGTTTCCATGCTATTTAAATAATAAAGAAGGGGGAGATGTGGGGCTCCATGGGATGCACAGCCATGGAGCCCCCACGTCAAGGTCGGTCTGATAACTGTTGCTGTGTCTTTATCACAAGGTGGATGTTGCTAGTTTCGGTTAGGGCAATGCTTTCCCACGGTCGGGACTTTCCAGAGGAGTTGAGAATGTTGTAAACAACAAGATGGCGCTGAGGACCGCGCAGTGAGCCTGCCTGCTGCGTGACGCCTCATCTGATTGGCCCGAAGACGCGTGCACACTGTGTGAACAGACAGTGGATTGGAGTGCTCCGTGCATGGACTTGAGCCCGCTTGCAATTGGCCAGATTTTGTATATAAGCTGTGTGCTGAAGAAGGAGGGGGCTTTTCTGTCCACTCTCCTCCCTTCATTCTTTCTCTGTCACTGTTATTTTCTCATTAAAAGTCTACTGAAGACTGATAAGCTGCGAACAGTGTAGTTCCTTTGCGGGCAAGGGAGCGGCACCTAGGCCATAGCAGAGAGCTGGATTGGAAGTGGAGCAACTGGGAATTGGACCCATATGGGATGCCAGCACTGCAGGCAGTGGCTTTACCTGCTATGCCACAGTGCCAGCCCCATCACAAAGATATCTTAATACACTAAACAGTCCAAATAGCAGATGCTGGGGCCTGGCACTATGAATTAAGCCACCCACCCCATATTGGCAATGGTTTGAATCCAGGCTGCTCCACTTTCAATTCAGTTCCCTGCTAATGCACCTGGGAAAGCAGTGGTGGATGGCCCAAGTCCTTGGACCCCTATACCCTAGTCCAAGACCCAGAAGCTCCTGGCTCCATCCTCTCCCAGCCCCTTGTAACCATTTAGGGAAGTGAACCAGAGGTTGGAAGACTTCCCTTGTTCTGCCTCTCCCTCTCTGTAACTCTTTCAAATAAACCTTAAAAAAAAAAGATGCTATTTCTGGCCCCAAAAGGTGGCAGTTTCTTTGCAAGGTTAATTGCCTTCCACCTTCAGTCCTGGATGCACCAGAGACCATGCATAGGGAGTGACGAATGGCCTGCAGCCTCGCACCCCTCTGACCCACAACACTCCTTTGAGGAAGACACTGAAGAACTATGATTTGTTCCAAAGTCATGACTGTGAGAACAGCTTTATCATGAAAAAGTGAGAAAGGACTCAAAAGGAAGTCTTCAGCCAGCAAAAGCACTTCCCCTGATATGAGCAGGCATAGAGGATTAAATTAATCAGATTCAGGAGCTGGAAAACTATGCCCCTAACCCCTATGTATCCCACCTGTATTCCCAGCTTGCCAATCAGACAACTAATCACGCCCCTTTGGGGAGTGCATAAAAAGCACAGAGCCCTCTGGGCCTGCCCTTGCCCTCCCAAGCCTCCAGGCACACAGCCTTTTGGCAGCCCCTCCGCTGTCTGCCCGCACCACGTGGTTCTGTGGTCATTCCCGCCTGCACGGTTTTTCCTCTCCCTGTGGCTCTGGCCTGTGAAGGCTTGCACATGGCCCTTGTTCACCCCACATCTCTTGGTGTGGGGCCTTCTGGCTGCCTCTGGAGACTGCTGGCTTGCCCTGCCGCTGCACTCCTGCCCATGTGCTCTCTCTCCCTTGCAGCCTCTGGTCTACTCCCTGGAAAAACCTGGTGTGCAACAGCCGCTTTCAATTTCTGACCCCCTTCCTCTTAATAAAGCCCTCACCTTCCTGTGCATTTCTCTCACACTCTAAACGCTAGGCTGTACAATGTTTTCTCATTTACAGAAACTCGATACTTAGAATTCTTATCTAAATAGACAAGAACCCTCAATACATCAATCTTGATTTTAAAATAAAGGTAAAGGATTTCCCGCCCTCCCCCTCCACCCAGCAACAGCACAGGATGATCAAGGGCGCAGCATGGCCAGAGGTCCTGGGGACGAAACCTTTCTCGGCCGCACACAAGGCCACTCCACCGGGCCCCAGCACCCTCTACCTGCCTCCTTCCAAGCCCTCCTCAGTGTCCGCACTCACAAAGCGAGCACAGCCCTTGTAGATACAATTTCCCCAAGTAAATTCGCATTGTGCGCTAGGCTTTTCTGCAGATGTTCAGGTTACAGAATATCCTAAAGTGCCGCGTGTACAGGAAGCCGCATGTACTCACGAGGACCGTTTCGTCTTCTGCTTTTCCACACTCTTGGTGCCACACAACATTCACCCGTGTACACACAACTACTAACCCGCACCCTGCAGTGGGCCGCAGCCTTTATAGCTGGCCAGGCTGGGGGCAGGGTCTCTCTTGCCCAGCCCCGCCCCTCTACAGCAATGGTTGGCTGAAGACCTACGGCAGGGGCGGAGCCTGAGCCAGAGGTGGGCACTGAAGCCCTTTGACTGGCTGGAAGCCAGGGA